CCTATGTTTTTTTCTTCTAGGATTTTTATGGTTTTGAGTCTAACATGTAAGTCTTTAATCCATTTTTTAGTTTATTCATGTGTGTGGTACAAGAAGGTGGTTTAGTTTTGTTTTTTTTTTTGCACATGTCTGTCCAATTTTCTTAACACCATTTATTGAATAGATTATCTTCAGTCCATCGTATGTTTTTGCCTCCTTTGTCAAATATTAACAGACTATAAAGGCGTGGATTTATTTTAGGGCTCTCTATTCTGTTCCATTGATCTATATGTCTGTTTTCATGCCAGCACCATGTTGTTTTGATTACTATAGCCTTGTAGTATACTTTGATATTTATCCCAAGAAATTTGAAACACTAACTTGAAAGAATATATGTACCCCTAGTTCATTGCTATTTACAATAGCCACGATTTGGAAGCAGTCCAAGTGTCCATCAGTAGATGAGTGGATAAAAGAGTATATTTACACAATGGAATACTACCCTGCCATAAAAAGGAAGAAAATTTTATTCTTTGGGACAGCATGGGTAGACCTGGTGAATGTTATGCTAAGTGAAATAAGCTAGTCAGAGAAAGACAAGTACCATATGATTTCACTCATCTCTGGAATTTAATGAACAAACTGAACTACTAAGCAAAATAGAGACAAACTCATAGAGAGCAGGCAGACAACTCAAAGGGAGAGGATGTTGAGGTGTGGTAAAGGGATTAAGCAAAACAGAAAAAGAGAGAGAGAGAGAGTGAGAGAGAGAGAGAGAGAGAGAGAGAGAACTCATGGACAACAGTGTGGTGATTGCAGAGTGAGCGGATGGAGGTGGGAGAGGACATAGAGGGGATAAATGGTGATGGAAAAAATAAAATAAAATAAATTTTTAAAAAAGAATAGTTTAAGTCCAAGCTTGCTACGAGACTAAAAGTAGATAATAAAGTTTTTTTTTTCTTTCTTTTTTTGGGTTATTTGCACTCCTTTCATCACTAAATTTTTAAGGAGGATTATTTCTTCAGCACTCAATACATCTCATCTGTGTGCAGGTAGGAGACCGGTATTATTTTTCTCCTCTGGTCTTAGTTACCTTGTTAGAGGTCACACAGCATCCCAGGCAAGCAGGGCCAGTGCTCAGGAGCTCGTCTTCCGAGGGAAATGGCGAGCCGGTGGAAAAGGAGTCAGTGTGACTCTTTACTTCCCTTGGCGGGGGGAGGTGTAAGGTTTCTCAAGGAGGGGCATTTATAGTGATTAAAATTGCTCAGGGCTTGCTTCATAGTGTCGTTCTGGTCCGGTAGTATGTGATTCTGGCAGGAAGGGAGTATGAGAGGGACAGAAAATCCCGGACAGCGGCACAGAAGGGCCCGGGGGTAGATGCTACCTCGGCTCCTCTAATAGCGTGGGTCAGTCTCACACAGTGTTGAGCTAAAGAACTCAGATATGATTCCATTTTTCTAAAGTTCAAAACCAAGGGAAACTACGTTAGAAGACATGATGGTGGCGAGAGGAGGGTGGGCTAGCGAGGGTGGTTGCACAAATACGTTCACTTTGGGGTAGTTCACAAGCTGTACACTTAAGATTTCTGCACTTTTCTGAATGTCAGTCATACTTTAATAAAAACTTCCATAAGGGCCGAAACCGGTTTGGCTCAGTGGATAGAGCGTCGGCCTGCGGACTGGGAGGTCCCGGGTTCGATTCCGGTCAAGGGCATGTGCCTGGGTTGCGGGCACATCCCCAGTGGGAGATGTGCAGGAGGCAGCTGATCGATGTTTCTCTCTCATCGATGTTTCTAGCTCTCTATCTCTCTCCCTTCCTCTCTGTAAAAAATCAATAAAATATATTAAAAACAACAACAACAACAACAACAACAACAACAACAAAAAACTTCCATAAGGAAACGACACACGACTTCCCTCCAAAGTAAAAGGAATGACATTGGATGGACTCAAAGGGACTTATTGTAAGGGACTCAGAGAGCAGGAGGGTGGCTGTCTTCATTCTGGAGACGGGCAGCAACTGCAGAGACAAGAATAGCCCGGGCTGACAGTGCATCTGCTCCTCCTTGTCCCGGTCAAGGTTTTCTAATTCGGGCCCAGGAGAGTATCCGTGTCTCCGGAGGCCACACTGGGGCACGCTGAGCATTCCCAAAGGAGCGGCGGCCTCTGTGGGGTAGGAGGAGTTTTAGAGGCGGGGACAGCACCAAGGGCACGCTTGTCTTGCTGTAAACCGGCACCAGGATCTAAAAAAAACGCGAGACACCTGTTTTTCTCTAATTACACATTTTTTAAAAATTGAATTTATTGGGGGTGACATTGGTTCATAAAATGATATAGGGTTCAGGCGTACAATTGTATAATGTCATTATAAGTGTCATCGTGAGATTTCTAGTTTTTTAATTGCCTGGTTCATTCTTGGACATCAAATAATTGTGGGCTCTTCTCCCATGGAGGAAGTTGGGACCATAAAAGCTGGGGAAAAGGCAGACTGGGATGCCCAGGCTCTTTTCTCCGCTGGTAATGAACTATTTGTAGTCTAGACCAAGCGCGTGTATTGATTCTCATCAAGTGGGATTCTTCACAGAGTGAAAACGTTGTCTGCCCTGGAGTGAGCCCCTTGGGACGGTTCGCGCCCCACTTTTTCAAATGAACAGAGTAAGCCCCTCATAAAATGTTTCTTCTGACACATCCGCACGTATGTAATCCAATCCCCTCGGTGCCCCTTTGTAGCTCCAGCCGCACAGCCCGTGTACCAGCTGGCAGGTGATTTTTTCCCTTCCCTGGACTGTGAAAAGGAAGAATGAGATTGCTGTTTGTTGAAATAGATGGTATATCTCAGAAGCCCCATTTCAATAATCTTCTGGAGGCAAGAATGAATGTGGGATTGGAAAGGGCATTAGGACATGGCTAAGTAAATAGCACGAGGCCCCTCAGCACCTGGCCAGCCAGCCGTGCTACTGTGTGACTTCGAGGCTTTACATTGCACAGTCTCCGTCTTCGGCAAACAGACTCTGAAAGGTCTTGCACAGAGGCAGAATTTTAAGTCCGAACACTCTGGAAAGTCGGTCTTCGAAATCCAAAGCTGTCACATAGTCCCCTGAGAAGGGCCAGAAACTTTCCAACTAAACCTTTTTAATGTCTCCAGTAGCTGTTAAATCCAATGTGCCTTGAGTTTTCCCCTCCGATTTAGTCTTCTGAGATGTATACATGTTTGTGTACGTTTCTCCAACTTCAAGACTGGACTCCGCCATCACAGGTGTGTAGAAAATGTCCGTGGTGCTTGGCCTTGATATTGCAAGTCAACAAGTCCAAGATATGCTGGCGAAGGGAGACCTTGGTTTGGAGGTTGGAGGAGTGAGGAGCCAGTAGGTTCTGAGTGCTCGAGTTTGATCCCATTTGTTTCCTCAAATTATATTTCTTTAAGTGTGAAGTAGAGGGCTATCTAAAGCAGGCCTTGTGCCTGGCTGGTGTGGTTCTGTGGTTGAGCATTGACCTACGAACCAGGAGATCACGGTTCGATTCCCAGTCAGGGCTCCATCCCCAGTAGGGGGTGTGCAGGAGTCAGCTAATTGACAATTCTCTCTCATCATTGATGTTTCTATCTCTCTCTTCCTCTCTGAAATCAATAAAAATATATTTAAAAATTTTAAATCAGGCCTTGTATGTGGTGGAATAATTTTTATGTGCCTTCTCACAATGGTCTAGTTTTCCTAGAATGTAGAATAAAATGGATGAACTCCCATCTCATCTCATCTCATGTTACTTTCCTCCTCAAACATTGGACCCTGTCATTCCGGCCTTCTTCAGTTTAGTGGTTGTGTCTCTGCATCTCAGGACCTTAGGATATGCTGTTCTCTCTCCCTGGGCTGCCCTTCTCACCTTTTTTCCCCCTTTCCTTCAAGTCTTAGTTCAGATTGTCTCCTCAGGGAGGCCTTCCCTCTCACACTACCTAACGTATATTCTATTCCCTCCAATCCACAGTGCAACATTTCATTTGGTGGACTAATGGCATTTATAAGAATTTGAATTATTTAGTTACTTGATTGTCATGCATTTCACTTATTATGGTGTAAATTCCAGGAGGCAGCATTCATGCCTATCTTGTCTACTATTGTAATTATCTAAGTTAAGCATGGTATCTGACATATAGTATGCTCAGTAAATATCTGTTGCATAAGTGTGTGAAAAAAACTCATTTTAGGTGATTTTTTTTTACTATACCAAGTTTTTATTGAGGTAAGTATCTTAGATGTTTTCCAGTCTGGGACACTGTTATAATTCTTTAAATAAAAAGAAAGTAAAGAGAAGAATTTATTAGAGTTTTAGAGAAAGGAAGGATGAGAGTTGCTCTTATTTCCTCTTTCTAATCCTGAATTAGTTATCTATTGCTTTATAACAAATTGCCTCAAAACTTAGCCTAAAGATCAATAACATCTATTAGCTTATATACTTTCTATGGATCAGGAACTCAGGACTAGCTTACATGAGTGGTTCTGGCTCAGAGACTCATGAGGTTATAATCAAGATATTGGCCAAAGTCATCTGTAGAGTTGACTGGGGCTGGAGGACCCAATTCCAGGGTGGTCCAGTCACATGGCCACCTTGTAGGGACTGGATATTGACAAGAGGACTCAGTTCCTTGCCATATGGGTCTCTCCAAATGACTGCTTGAGTGTCCACAATATGACAGCCAGGTTCTCCAAGAGCCAGTGAACCAAGAGAACACACTGAAGCTGCAATGTCTACTATGACCTAGCTTCTGGAGTCACACAGCTTTATTCTCAATGTGCTGTCTGTTACTCTTCAGCCCTATTCAATGTGAGAGGGGATACAGGATGTCAATATCAGAAGGCAAGAGTCATTAGAGGTCATGTTGCAGGCTCGCTTCCACAGATCCCTACATGATTGTGTCCTTTGATTTCTGGGGTTTTTCATCCCTGTTTCTCTTCCTCATCCAGCCAATAGCAATATCAACCCTCTAATAAGGAGGTATTTCAGGACACAGAGACCTATAGTAGAGATCTGCATTCAAGAAAACGGTATGTGCTTATTAGTATCAATTTTCACATGCGCAGAGATATCCTCAGGCCAATCATTACGCCTGCTTAAGTAACAAACACCTAGAAGGTTCTCAACAAATAGAATTTTTTTGAACAAGAGAATGAAAAAAATAAACAAAGGGATTGACTTTTCTCCCTCATGCACCTGAGGGCTGGTTTTGTGCTGTGATTTACATACACAATTGCCAGACATCAGAAATACACATCAATTTTAATCAAAAAGAATTAAATGGGCCATTACCTTTTAATTTTCATAGTCTGGGTAGATGCCTATCAGACTTGAATCCCATTCAACACAAACCAGACAGTTCTTTCACTTTCACTCATGGGCAGTTTTATCCCTTTCTTCTTTGGTTTTTCTTAAAAAGTATTTACATTTGGTGAGTTTGATTCAACCATTAAATTTAATGCCTAACACTCAGCATGGGTATTTTTAATTCTATACCTACTTGCCTTAGTCATAATCCATCTCTAAAACTATTCTATAAATGTTATCCCTCTGGCCTCAACTACTATCATTACATTTATATCCTACTTATAAAATGCTTTTGGAATTTTAAAAGTATCCACACTCCAATAACCTACCCAACTTATCTTTCCTTCAAAGATTCAGAAACTGTATGACCCAACTGTAGCAGTGAAGCATCGAGTTACATTTTATACCATAAGAATGCCATTCATTATAATTCTCATTAAGTGATTTGGTGGCTAGACTTTGCTAAAGAGATTTTTCTAGAGCACTGCCAGAAAATCAAAACTAGGAGCCCTCATCCAGTGCTTGTGGAGTATACAGTTATGGGCTAACTACGTTGTAGATCAATTAACAGTATCTAGTGCAGTTGAAATTGTATATATCCTATGGCCCAGTAATAACAGTGCTCAGTGTAGAGATGCTCAACCATTTGGGCCTGAAACTGTACACTGCAGCGTTGTTATATAAAAAAAATTGGAAAGCATAAAAGGTAAAAACAAAAGCAGATGACAGCACAAGGCATTAAAAAATAAAATATTGATATAATTCATGCAATGAAACATTCCACTGAAGCAAAAGTGAATAAAATAGTACACATATCAACACAGGTGAGTTTCACAAGCACTATATTGAAGGATAAAAAGCAAGTTGTTCAAGCATCCATAGTGCATGATTCCATTTGTATTGCTTAAAACATGCAAACCAATATTATATGTTATTTATGGCCTAAACAGAATGAAAATAGAACACTATCAATAAAAATGACAAACCTCAAATTTAATATAGAAATTTTCTTTGTAAGAGGGAGGGAGAGTCAATGGGACCTGGGGTTGGTAGATAGAGGCATTTAATTGTAGTTTTAATGTTTTATTCCTTGTGCCTGATGGTAGGTATATGGTTTTTACTTTATACCTTTACTTTATACTTTTACTTTGCAGGTTATTTCATAATTTAAAAAATCCAAAGTGGGGACATCGTCTGAAAACTATAAGTTGATGGCTTGATGATGAGAATTGGAATAGGGTTATAACAGTGCCTAACATATGTGCAAACAACATTTGTGCATTAATTCTCACTGGAGTGTCCACATTTTTTATACAGACTTCTGCTACATCCAACATTGACTTCATCTTTTATCCAGGTAATTATTCTGTGTAAAATCAGATGTAGCCCTCTCTCATTTTCATCTGTAAAAGTGAGTTGGTTGCATAAGGTCATTTTTGACCTAAAATGTATTATTTGGCTGTAATATTTGATTAAGGTCTAAAATTTTGGGTATTAAAAATAAAGAGCCTCGAAAATAATCCAGGTTACAAAAGGGAGAATTAGCCTCTCAAGAATTTCTCAACTACTTCCCCCACATATTTTAAATAATGTTTAAAATATAAACATTTACCCAGCCAGCATGGCTCAGTGGTTGAGTGTCGACCTATGAACCAGGAGGTCACAGCTTGATTCCCAGTTAGGGCACATGCCTGAGTTGCAGGTTCAATCCCCAGTGTGGGGTGTGCAGGGGGAAGCTGATTAGTGATTCTCTCTCATCATTAATATTTCTATCTCCCTCTCCCTCTCCCTCTCCCTCTCTGAAATCAATAAAAAGATATATTTTAAAAAATATATAAACATTCAATGAATATTTCTTCTCCTGCTCTTTCTGTTTGCCTTTTTAGTGTTGCAAAGCTGGTCAGAAAAAGGAAGGGAGAAAGAGATGAAGGAAGGGACACTCTGAGGATGGCTAACTTCCTCCCCCCTTTCTGTATATGATATAGTTGTTATACTTTTATCACTAGGCAAGTGCCTAGGGATTTGCAGATTAAATTTGTATAAGTGCTTTGGGGTTTCCCTCATATAGTCTCAGCATTCTATCCTTAGTTGGTGAAATACAGGTCTTGATGCTTGGCATTGGCTATCCTGGAATGTCTGTACTACTCTAAATTTCAGTAATTATATCTATACTAGAGACCCAGTGCACGAAATTCGTGCACTGTGTGTGTGTGTGTGTGTGTGTGTGTGGGGGGGGGTGGCGGGGATCCCTCAGCCCGGCCTGCAACAACGCAAGTGTTCCGCATCCGGCCTGGCCAGAGGTCCTTCGCAGTTGGGGTGGAACGCTTGCCTCATTGCCATGGCAAAGAAGCAAGCATCCCACCAGGCCACTCACGCTGCCCACTCTCAGCGGCCGCCCCCCCCTGGACTGGGGGACTATGGCAGGGCTGAGAGGACTGGGAGCCACCAACTTTGTGGCAGAATGATGACCAATTTGCATATTCCCTCTTTATTAGATAGGATATCTTTAATCTTTAGAAAATGACACCCCAATGTTCACAGAATGAAATTTCCATCTTCTCAGCTGTCAGAAATATAGAAAAAAAAATCTTATGGAATAAGGAAAAATAAACTCCAGATGCAAGGACATAGTTGTTCCAAGTTTCATGAAAGCATGGGTTCACAACCTGGGCTGCACATTGAAATCTAGGGGAGTTGTTAAAAAACAAACAAACCAAAAAACCCAAACACTGATGCCTGGTCTCATTTCCAGAGATCCTGATTTGTGTAGTATGGATGCAGACTGGACATCAAAAAATCAAAGACTCTTTTAGATTATTCCAATGTACAGTAAAGTTTTGAAACACACATTAAATTATTAATATTTTTTATAAATTATTTAAAAATGTGATTGAAACCTTATTGACTCCCATTGAGTCAGTTTATGCAGATTAAAGGTAACTCGTTAAAGGTCAGTGCTCTCCAAAGCCAGGCCCAATGCAGACAGAAATGGGAGCCTCCAGGCAGAGTGTGAGGGAGGAGGAGTAACATTCCTTCCTTCCTCTGTGTGAGAGAAGCAGAAGCCTATTACCAGTATTCCTGGGTGTTAAGCATTTGTGAAATGGTATCATATGTACTTAGCAGTGCTTTGGACATAGTGAGATTTAATACATATTCACTGAATAGATTAATGAAAAAAATGAATAAAAGAAGGAAATGTTGAATAAGAGGAATACTCAGAGAACTAAACTCCTGAGAACTAAACATCACCTATCAATTCTATTCCACTTCAGAAATAAAGAAGTTGAAAGTCCCATCTCCCTGTTCTCCGTATTCCCCTGGCATTGTAGAAAAGCACTATATCTTTGTAATGTTGATTCTCCCTAGTCCTAATGGAAATGAATATTGCCTCTCATCTCAGCTCTGGTTTGAGTTCACCCATCATTTAATCCCTCTCAGAAAGCTGGAAAAGGGAAGTTCTTGCTTCACAGCTGTCCTGAGATCAAGATGTTCCCCAAATAAAATTAAACACTAAACATTCAAGACATTTCAAGATGAGATATGCTTCTTTTTAAAAAATTTTCTCGGCAGTACCTTAAGTGTTGAAAAGGACATTTGCTGAGTGATGGTTTGGGCTGTATTTCCTTACCTACCTGGGAAGCTGGTTCCGTGTCCCACTCCCCCTTGCTGTGTCTCTGCCCGCTGCCCTGAGCAGCGGTGAACTTGTTCACAGAAGATGCGCGTTCGCTTTGAGACAGCGTTTAGCTCCCCTACATCAATTCTGTTAAAGGGGCTTCATCTCAGGATGATATTTACACCACTTCAGGTTCAGCGAAGTTCTCCTCAGCCCTCCCAAGGGAGGCAGGAACACACTGAAGAGCCTGCTTCCCTTATCTCTCTGCTAAATCAATACTGCACTTGACTGCTTCCCACTTGACTCATTATTTGCAGTGTTAGAAAAAAACCTCAACTCACATTGAAGGGAAGTGGACCAAAAATGAAGTTCCTAAGTGTGTCAGAGTAACAAGAACAGGGAGGGGAAAAAGCCAGGAAATAATTTTGGTTGATACTTTTCGCCTTTTATGTGAGTTTTGTTGTCATGATCCAACGTTTCTGTTTCTTTTGGGTCCCCAATACAGAAGGGAAGGAAGGCACAAGAAGTGTTTGTTTTCTTTTACTTTGAAAACTAGAATTACTGCCACTCATTTACTTTAGGAAAAGTATTATTTTATGTTAAACAAAAGTAAAAATGTTAACATGAAAACAGGCAAAAGACTCAATGACATAACTCCTTGGGTTAATTCATTTTTTTTTGAAGTTCATTTTTTTCTGTTTATAAAACTACACCTGCTTATTGTAAAATGATGCAGAACTCTATAATATAGAAAAGGTAAATTTTCCATAATTCCTAGCAAAAATAGTTTAGCATGTATTTTCAAGGGTTTTCTATATATAATCTAACATATATAATCATAATGTAATAATAATAATTGCATTTTTTTTTATAAAAACAGGTTGTATTTTACATCTGCAACTTTCTTTGTCTCAGTTCACAGCATATACACTGGAGTATGTTGTATTGCCAATTCTGGGTCACTTAATACAAAAAAAATATGTGTTAAGTTTTCATGTTTCAATTGAATCAAAACATTACCCTCAGGCTCCTGCCTGAGAAGGGATTTTGTTATCAGAATTGTTTATTTGCATTTATAGAAATAAAAGCCTAGTTTCATCTGGAAAGGCAGCACAAGCATTTACTGAACATGAATCATATGCTACATACAAGGGTGACACAAAAATGTATAAATTGTTGTTTCCGCCCACAATCAAGTGCAGGTGACAGACAGGAGTAACTACAGTCTAAAGCAGGGGTGGGCAAACTTTTTGACTCGAGGGCCACAATGGGTTCTTAAACTGGACCGGAGGGCCGGAACAAAAGCATGGATGGAGTGTTTGTGTGAACTAATATAAATTCAAAGTAAACATCATTACATAAAAGGGTACAGTCTTTTTTTTTTTAGTTTTATTCATTTCAAACGGGCTGGATCCGGCCCGCAGGCCGTAGTTTGCCCACGGCTGGTCTAAAGCCATTAAGTTTAGGTTCCACAACAGTGGTCTAAGTCAGTGGTCGGAAAACTCATTAGTCAATAGAGCCAAATATCAATAGTATAATGATTGAAATTTCTTTTGAGAGCCAAATTTTTTAAACTTAAATTATATAGGTAGGTACATTGTTATTAACTTAATTAGGGTACTCCTAAGGCTTAGGAAGAGCCACGCTTAAGGGGCCAAAGAGCTGCATGTGGCTTGCGAGCCGCAGTTTGCTGACCACGGGTCTAAGTGAACCTGCTTAGTAGAATACAGAAGAGAGAGAGACACATTTTGACTGAGGGGAATGGATGAAACATTGAGAAGGAAGTGCATTGTACATTAGACCTCAAGCATAGGGTTTGATTTGGACAAGTAGATAAGGACAAGACCTGGCAGGGAACAGTATGAACTAAAGAACAGGCACATTCAAGGAAGTGTGAGAGTAGAGTAGCGTGTAACAAGCATGTCAAACTTATTTAAATGAGCCATGTGATCTGTGGGCCGTGAGTTTGACATGCTTGGTAGAGGACGGGATAGAATTTAAAGCTGCAAAGGTATCTCCAGGCTAGATCATAGCGGTCCTTAAATGGATCTGGTGTTGGGTGTGAACAGTCAAATTGATGATTTCTGATCCAGTGGTTGTCTACATCTTTTGCACCCAGCAATGTTATAGAACGTTCCTGGTTTGTAAATATCTTACACACACACACACACACACACACACACCAAGCTCTTTTGGACTAAGAGTTCATTTCTTATTCATCTGTATTGCCCCAGTGCCTAAAAGAATTATCATACCCTAGATGGTTTGGCTCAGTGGACAGAGCATTGGCCTGCAGACTGAAGGGTCCTGAGTTCGATTCTGGTTAAGGGCACATGCCCAGGTTGTGGGCTCAATATCCAGTAGGGGGCATGCAGGAGGCAGCCAATCAATGATTCTCATCATTATTGTTTCTAGTTCTCTCTCTCCCTCTCCTTTCCTCTCTGAAATCAATAAAAATATATTTAAAAAAGAATTGTCATATTAAGCACTTAATAATTGTTACATTGGTTTTTAAAAGTCATTTACTGACAAACTACTATGAGCCAAATTCTCACACATGCTCTTTCAGTAACTCTTGTAAGATAGATATTATTATTATTCTCCTTTAAGAAATGAGATGTTGCTCAGAGAAGTTAAGCCTTTTGCGTGGAGTCACACAGCTAAAGAGCTGCAGTTCAAACTGAGATCTGGCAGACAGCCAAGCTCTGTATTTCCTTTATGTCCTGCTCCACATTATTTCCTAA